TCATAATAGCTACTGCCAACTGATGGTTTGAAGGCTTTAAATTCATCACATATAACTTTTTTAATTCTAGCCTGCGAGCTAACATTCACACCAACAACTGTGCCTAAAAATAAATAATAATAATAATAATAATAAATAAATAAAATCATTATTATTCAGACATACCGTCATCAGCAATACCAATTGTTAGGGTACCTCCTCCTGAATTTAAAAACGTTGAACCATACTTCCTTATGTGCTATAAGAAGAGAAGAAAGAAGAGAATAAAAAAGAAAGGAAAATGTCTTCATGTTGTTATTATTATTATTATTATTATTATTATTATTATTACTTTACAACACACAACAACAGAAGATAAGAGTAATCATATAGTCTTAGTTATACAGAAAACATAGGAAATGTTGAAGGACCAGCTACAACTTGTGTAGTAGCCTTGAAATGAAGAGAACAGGAAAAAAAACACACACACAAAAACAATCTGAACAAATAATAGTCTTAATATTTTACATCCACAAAATAAAACTACTATATATACACAGTACTCAGTACCATTGGATTAACCTGCTCTAAGTTATTCAAAGCAAAATTTCCAACTTTGTACTCTGTGTGTCTCGTTTCAGTATTCACTAACTTTGATCCAATTTTATAAGTGGTTCTTTGAGAGAAAAGAAAAAGGGAGAGAGAGTGGTTTCATGTACAGACAGTAAGAAAGACAATAGTAAAATAAAATTGCTATTATTATTATTATTATTATTATTACAGTTACTTTGCTCTTGCTGTAGATGGTGAAAAGGATAGCTCTGGAGTAAGAGTGTAGACCATTGAAGAATCAGCCATTTTATTACAAACTGGAATGGGTGGAGCTGGAGCAGTCAGCATGCATCTCCATATGAGGCTTGATTTAAGACCAATGATGTATCCAAACTCTTGAGTTTACTGTCATCATGGTAAACATCAATGGTTAAAAGAGCTATTATTAAGTATGGTAAGGATGATTAAAACATACAAATGGGTAAACAACAGTAAACCTCATTGATGAGCATTGAAACTGTGGCTAACATTAATAAACATAGGTAGCTAAATACATACATGTATATACATATGAATATGATATACAGTGGTAAACATGGGTCAACAGTGATTTACAGTGTTGAACACAGGTAAACATAAGTAAACAAAGATATACAGTGGTAAACCAGGGCCGTAGCCTGGAACTTGAAACAGGGGGTTCGGAAATTGCTGCGCGCGAAGCGCGG